GTGTGTGTGTGTGTGTGTGTGTGTGTGTGTGTGTGTGTGTGTGTGTGTGTCCTAACATTTCTCTCGGTGTGGGTTCCCATGGGTGGGAGCACACCCACCTAAGGAGGTCCAAAATCCAAGTGGGGCCCAAAATGGTGGACCCCACTCCGATTTCAATTAAAATGAGCTCAGCAGCCTCCCCTGATGCTACCATTGCTTTTTTTTTCATGTCAAAAAATTGTCCCCTAAGGTAGCAAAAAGTGGGCAAGTGTGTAAAGGTGTGTATCCTGCAGCCGACCGTAACCGGAAGTCAGGATATACACTTCCCGCAAAATCTTATACACACCGCGGGAGTCTGAAACCTTTGGCCAATGACATTGCTGCACTGAGGAAAACTACCGGAAGTTCACAACAAGAAGAAAACAACACGGATTGAAGACAAAAAGAAGACGGAGTGATTGGATTATTTTGAATATTTTTACATTTACCGACCTCTGCATGCAGCAGGTAAGCTAGGCATGGTTCAGAAGAGTTTATATTTTGGCGTTCTGTTGGGATGTATTTAAGCTGGCTGCCATGTGGCTAACTTTAGCAATATAATATTATAAATAGTTCGTTGTTTACTCACCCAGACAAGTTTGGAGTTATTTGGAGCCGCTCAGAAGGAGTTTTTTTATCGAGTCGCCATCAGCTTATATCCATATAATGCCAATGGGAGCAAAACTGCAGGAGTTGTTGCTGCATTATCTGCCCTCAAACTCCTTCATTTAACCAAGTGTTCTTATTAAACGTTAACACTACTCCCATCGGAGTTCAGAAAATCTCGTAAGTGTTTATTTGTTCGGTTTGGGGTGATTTCAAGGCAAAAATACAACAATATTGTGCGATTAAAACAGCGTCACGGCCAGTCGCCATCTTGGTTGTAGTCCGGCCAGCACTTTAACTCTGTGCTCTGCAACGGTCGGTTTGACAGAACTTGCTGCTGTTGACATCAGTGTAGTTCGGGTTTGCGTGTTTCCAAATTGCAATAATCGAATGACCAATTGGACTAAATTCAGCTTCTACAGACTCTTTCAGCAACCTACGCGGACTACAGCCGTAATGGCGGAGGGCTGCAACGTTATTGAAATCTCAGTTGGAATCGATTGCATTAAAAGCCTGTAAAACTCCAGAAGCTAATATGTTAGCACCTTTGAGACGTGCTGAACTCACAGAGGAATTTTTTTAAACTATTCTCAACAAAACATTGTTAAATGAAGGAGTTTTGGGGCAGATAATCTTATAATATCCTGCCCTGATAGGCTCCCATTATATGGATATACAGTGATAGCAACCTGATTAAAACTCCTCCTGAACTACGCCAAGTAGGTCCACACTTGTCTGGGTGAGTAAATTAACGTAATATTTGTTAAAAAAGTTAGCCTGGCCAGCCAGACTCGCTCTGTGCAGAATTGAACAGAGTGAGTCTGGCTGGCCAGGCTAAAAAAATAAGGTCCAGGTTGAAAATGCTGCATGTGTCAGTGATGTTGTTGTACCAGAAGTTTGACAGCCCTAGTTTAGATTAGTGACTGAGTGTCTTTGCAGCACAGCTTGGTTATTATATAACAAACTAACTTCTTGGCTTCAACAGGCTCGGTCAGCTCTCAGTGTACACATTTCAGAATTTGTATATTTCATTATCCTGTGTTTGATGTTAAACAATGTGCATCATGCAATAGCAAAGCTCAATGCACAGCTGCTGTATGTGTGTTTGTATGAATGTTCTAGATTTTATTTTTCTCTTGCTATTTTTCAAAAACCTTTCTGTGAGATTTGCCTTGACTAAGTACTAATTACGATTATTTTCACAGAGCCATTATGTCCACAAGAAAGAGGAGGAAAAAGCCTATAGATGATGCAAAGACACACATCCTGTCCTGTACTGACAAGGTTGGGTTTATGTCGAGATACATTGACGGTTACAAAGGTAATTTGCGAAAATTTCTTGACACAACTTGTGTTTTTCAAAAGCAAAGCAGTTGACAAGTTGACAAGTAATTAAAATTGCGCCCACATTTTCAAAGTTAAACACATTTCTTTTAACAACGGTAGTTTTTTCATCTTTACTGCAAACTCACTGATGCGCCTGCAGCCTCTCAGAGTTCATGCTGCTCTAAACATTGAAAGAATGATTTAATTTTCTGTTGCTGACTTCTGATTACCTTAAATGGTGTCTGTTTGTTGCTACCAGCAGGTACAAAAAGGAACTTATTTTTATTTGACTATTTTTCTGTCCTGTCTTGTTTATCATCTTCCTACATCTCATCTCAATCCTAAAGAAAAACTGCTATCTGGCTTCATATATATTCACCTTATGAGTTACCTTTGAACTGCAGTTCTAAAAGATCTACCGACTGCAAATATAGAGGAGTGTGTGCTACGCACAGACCGCATCAGTGAGGTGAAGTCACAGCAGAATGAAACAGGTGATGCGCTCTGCTCCACAGCAGCAAAATGCATCAGGCACAAATAAAAGACAGAAAACATGAAGGGATATGAGCCGACATGAACGATTACGTGTTAAATTTGTTTTTGAGATGGCGACACTTTGAGAATGTAGCTGTGGCTGTGCTCAGGATGCATCTGTCTGGAGCGCATCAACGATCAGAGCTCTGCGCCTCTCAGCTCTAAATAATCTTGGAGAGTTCACATAGATAATGTAATATAAGTGGAACCATTGATTTTTCGAAAAAAATGGTAAACTATTGTGTGGAGGATCTACAGACTCCAGTAGTCTGTAGATGAACAGCACCTTCTTCCTTTTCTGGTGCATTTTGTGCAGCTGAAAACACGGTCGTTTCTGCTCCACACCAGACCAGAGGATTACAATCCCAGTGATGTGACGGGAGTTCAACATGCCTCCTATCCTCCAGAGCCACTTGGTGGAGTTTTGAAAAATATTTGATGGCTCCTACCCAGATCAGCATTGGAGCTCTAGAAGAGGATAGAGCTTTCAAAAATTCCTAGTGAGGCGGGGATGCTGGTTTCTAGGTCGGAACTGGCTAGGAACTTGTGCTCCTAACCTCAAGAAGAGGATGCAAAGCTTTTAAAAGATGCTAGCGGGCTAGGGAAGCTGGTTTCTGGGTTGTGCTCTGGATAAGATGACATGCGTCTCTCCCTCTCTCTAAAGCGCTAAGCTACATTACGTGAATGGATATTAACAAGTATTAAACAGCTGACAAATGCTCATTGCCAAGAATCAATATTATATTAACTGACCAATAATATTTTAATTGTCTACACCAGGGATTCCCAAAGTGTGGTGCCGCTAGGGGGTGCGCGAGGTGAAAAGTGTAATGGCTGCGGAGCTCAGAGAAGTCTGTCAAAAGTCACCATTAGCGTAGCCAGAAACTCATTTGTGGGTGGGCCTAAGAAAATGTAAGTGGGCCCAATGAACGTAATTGAAAACAAGTATATTTTGCTTGTGTGTGTGTGTGTGTGTGTGTGTGTCCTCCGCACATGCCCTAGCTCAGGGGTCGGCAATCCGCGGCTCTGGAGCCGCATGCGGCTCTTCCATGCGGCTCTCTGTGCTTGTAAAATAATGAATGGATATTTAAATAAAATGCTTTGTATTTTACTGAATTAATTTTACATCTGTAAGCTAATTCTAAATGTAAAGATTGTCTGCGTAAACCTGAACAGGTCCAACCCGGTCTTACTGTGAGACCGGGTTGACGCGTCACGCATGTGCGTAAACATAGGCGCTTTCTGAGCTGAAGACGATGTGAGATTCTGGGACTCTCCTCAGTCGCCACATTGGAGACAGGAACAAGCACAATTCAGCCAAAGTTTCATCATCACGGAACATTTTCTAAGTGACAAGTCTCTCTGAGAGACCGGGTTTTGAAAACTCTCGCTTCAGTGGAAGGAATCTTCCCGCATGCGCTCTGTTTCTGCGACGTGCTCCAAGCCCCTCTCCACACCTTCAGCTCGCTGTGCACCTTATGTACGCGCTGACTGAGCGGTGTCCAGCTCAGATGTTCAGAAGGAAATCTTTTCTTGAGTGATTTAGCTTCATCTGCGATTTGCGTAGAATAAAGTGTCAGTTCGTCTGCATGCGTCGGGGTAATTCTTTCTATTCTTTCTCCATCAAAAATAAACGGTCAAATACGGGAACTATCCGGTCAACACAAGCCCTGCTTTTAACTGTTCTGTTTTCTTGTGAAAATTGTTACAAATTTAACTTGATTAACACCAGAGCCAGGCGCACTGCGCCGTTGTCTCGGTCACTGTAAATGAGGGAGAAACAAAATGATCGGATCCTTTTCTGACCTTCCCCACCTACAAAGTTTAATTACAACAATCAAACGTGACAGAGCCTGGATTTGTATTCTGAACAGTCTAAACATGTTTTAAAAAGAAACGTATGACAAAAGTGGCACCTGCTCAGTAAAACCACCAACAGGGTGAAAAATATCTAAATACTGTCGGCAGAGACGGGCTACAACTTCTGGATCCACTTTATATAAATTGTTTTATTGATTACCTTCTTATGAAAGATAACTTTGACGTACACGAGCGACCGGTACCGGCTGCTGTCACCTGTTGTTAGCAGCGCTCTGCTGTCTGAGGGTAGGCCCCGCCCACAACGCCGCAGCTGCTGCAGTGTTTTCTTTACTGTGGGAAACGGGTAATAATGGCTCTTTGATGGGAACAGGTTGCCGACCCCTGGTTTAGCGTGACGTCTGATATGTGTGTGTATATATATATATATATATATATATATATATATATATATATATATATATATATATATATATATATAGCCATGCCCTGATGTGGGGCTGGGGGGTGTGTCAACATGGTCGGGACATAGAAGGGGGTGCGCGGCTAAATAAGTTTGGGAACCACTGCTCTACATGACAGTAACATTTTGTTAGCGCACGAGTTGTAGCAAGCTAGCTAGCATCGTTCACTCACAGAGACACCTGCTCCTCCACAGAACCTCCTGACACCACAGATAAATCTCTCTGCTTTGGCTGATGATTTCTCCCTCTGGTTTGTCTCTAAGCTGCAGTTTGCTCTTTAAGGCAAATTTCATCTGTATTGATCCAAAAATGACAAGGAAAGGGTGAAGTTAGTAGGGATTGCATTATTAAACATTAAAAGTAGATGTCATCATTCACATGAATGAATTTCAGTTCTTTTCTTGTTTCTCTTGGCCTGTTAGGACTTATGTGTCATTTACTGAGCTCCTAAGGTATTTAAAAAGCATTTATTTAGATTTTTAAAAAAGATGCAGGAACCTTGAAATAGCACTTTCTTCTCTATTTCTTCCTCTGCATACATTTTTTCCTCACAATCTCTGGGTGTCAAATCTCAATTATTACAAACTTGTAAATCATAATGTCATTGCACTTGTGAAAATAGATTTAAATGCATTTTTAGTTTACTGCAACTTAAAGCTCATTTGCACCATACATTATTGAACTAGTCAATCTATTTGTTGTATATACATTTGTTATATTGCTTTTCTGTCTCATATATTGCAAATAGGAATACTTTTTTGTATTGCTATTTAATATATAGTTCCATGCCTTGCTGTGGCCCCACTGTAATTTTCCAGTCTGGGATCCATCTACATCTGTTTGTCGGTTTATGTCAAGTCTGAGTTGCATGGGTTAGGGTGCATCTGTGTTGTTACACTTCACTGGTGTGTTACGTGGACCAAATGGTACACAGCACTCTCAGATTAAGGGAAAGTAACAGCATAGACAGGACCTCAGTGATACATTCATATGGATGGGTTGGCATCAAAAACATGTTTTGGCCACAGAAAGCCTGATCAAAAATCTGTTTACCTGCAAGGAGAATGTTGAGCATTGTCTGCAGGTTATATACCGACTAGACGCAAGAACCTCAGCCTCACTTTAAAATACTGTAGTATCTCTTTTGAGTCCCAGAATGAAATGTTTAATTATTATATATTTTATAGGAAGAGGAGTGTTTGCCACACCCCCCAATGAACCAGGGGACTTCGTCTTGGAGTACAGGGGTAAACACCTCACAAAGGAAGAATGCGAGTCAAGACGATACTCAGAGACTGAAAGCAAATTTCTCTTTGGCTTTAAGTGGCAGAACCATTGCTTATGGTAAACATGGAAAAATGGATGATTTTTTATTGATTAGAGAAATTCCGAGTTATCCCTGGAACAAGGGTTTAATACTTGATAAACTAATTAAAGCACAAATATTAAAATCTTTTGAAAACAATTATTTCAATAAAACTGTTAAAAAATGTAAAACTATTAAAATTTTTTTTAATACTTTTCAGCCTGGATGCATCTGAAGAAGATGGCTCTCTCGGAAGATTGGTCAATGACAACCACAAAAATCCTAATTGCGTTATGAAAAAAATCATAGTTGACAACAAACCACATTTGTGCCTTTTTTCTCTGAAGAAAATAGAAATAGGAGCTGAAATTTATTACAACTATGGTGATTCAAAATGGCCTTGGCGCAGTAAGGTGAGTTGGTTGCTATTTCTCCAATATTAACCATGCTTCCAATATTACTCTTGGTTGTCTATGGAAATGCATTTCATCTTTGATCTGTGATATGTTTTATTCATCTACAATCCAGGTGGGAAAAAACAAGGCTCCTGCAGCAGCAAAAGAGAACCTATTGGGTGGGGAAGGCCAGGTAATGCCACACACACCGTCATGTTTCCAGTCATGTTCTTATGGGGTCCTTCCATCTTCCAAACACATTTCTATCTGGAGTCTCTCCTTTACACACTCGTATGTGTCTAGTCTGACCCAAGTGGGGCCCTTCCGTCCAGTTCTTCTTGTAGATGTTTTTAGTGCACTATGGTAACACCAGACATGACCTCAGCTGTGATTGTAACATTCATAATTGTATACCGTCTGAGCTGTTACATGTTTTAAATCAATATTTTGATTCATCCACTGTGAACTCCTGGAATCGTCATGAGAGCTGCTCATTACCAGTAGTCCAGAAGGCCCAGCCATGTTCTCAGTTGTCGTTCTGTGCTGCTGTTTCACAGTTAGATGATCTTTTTTGCCTTTGGAAGTCTCTTCATATAGTTCTGAGTCTTTTGTCTGTTATCTATATTTCAGATGAAAGGCCTTCAGACTCCTGCTGCAGCAGAAGAGAATGAGGCCAGTCCTGTTCCTCAGATGCTTAATGATGGACCAATCCCAGATGAGACCTACACACAGGTAAGAGTACATTCAAACACCTTCTTCTGTGCTGACATGTATGTGATGTTGTTCTACTACTAAAATGGACCAATGCTCATGTGGCTGTATGGTAGTCAGGTGGACCTATTGGGTGGGGAAGGCCAGGTAATGCCACACACACCGTCATGTTTCCAGTCATGTTCTTATGGGGTCCTTCCATCTTCCAAACACATTTCTATCTGGAGTCTCTCCTTTACACACTCGTATGTGTCTAGTCTGACCCAAGTGGGGCCCTTCCGTCCAGTTCTTCTTGTAGATGTTTTTAGTGCACTATGGTAACACCAGACATGACCTCAGCTGTGATTGTAACATTCATAATTGTATACCGTCTGAGCTGTTACATGTTTTAAATCAATATTTTGATTCATCCACTGTGAACTCCTGGAATCGTCATGAGAGCTGCTCATTACCAGTAGTCCAGAAGGCCCAGCCATGTTCTCAGTTGTCGTTCTGTGCTGCTGTTTCACAGTTAGATGATCTTTTTTGCCTTCGAAAGTCTCTTCATATAGTTCTGAGTCTTTTGTCTGCTATCTATATTTCAGATGAAAGGCCTTCAGACTCCTGCTGCAGCAGAAGAGAATGAGGCCAGCCCTGTTCCTCAGATGCTTAATGATGGACCAATCCCAGATGAGACCTACACACAGGTAAGAGTACATTCAAACACCTTCTTCTGTGCTGACATGTATGTGATGTTGTTCTACTACTAAACTGGACCAATGCTCATGTGGCTGTATGGTAGTCAGGTGGACCTATTGGGTGGGGAAGGCCAGGTAATGCCACACACACCGTTATGTTTCCAGTCATGTTCTTATGGGGTCCTTCCATCTTCCAAACACATTTCTATCTGGAGTCTCTCCTTTACACACTCGTATGTCTAGTCTGACCCAAGTGGGGCCCTTCCGTCCAGTTCTTCTTGTAGATGTTTTTAGTGCACTATGGTAACACCAGACATGACCTCAGCTGTGATTGTAACATTCATAATTGTATACCGTCTGAGCTTTTACATGTTTTAAATCAATATTTTGATTCATCCACTGTGAACTCCTGGAATCGTCATGAGAGCTGCTCATTACCAGTAGTCCAGAAGGCCCAGCCATGTTCTCAGTTGTCGTTCTGTGCTGCTGTTTCACAGTTAGATGATCTTTTTTGCCTTTGGAAGTCTCTTCATATAGTTCTGAGTCTTGTCTGTTATCTATATTTCAGATGAAAGGCCTTCAGACTCCTGCTGCAGCAGAAGAGAATGAGGCCAGCCCTGTTCCTCAGATGCTTAATGATGGACCAATCCCAGATGAGACCTACACACAGGTAAGAGTACATTCAAACACCTTCTTCTGTGCTGACATGTATGTGATGTTGTTCTACTACTAAACTGGACCAATGCTCATGTGGCTGTATGGTAGTCAGGTGGACCTATTGGGTGGGGAAGGCCAGGTAATGCCACACACACCGTCATGTTTCCAGTCATGTTCTTATGGGGTCCTTCCATCTTCCAAACACATTTCTATCTGGAGTCTCTCCTTTACACACTCGTATGTGTCTAGTCTGACCCAAGTGGGGCCCTTCCGTCCAGTTCTTCTTGTAGATGTTTTTAGTGCACTATGGTAACACCAGACATGACCTCAGCTGTGATTGTAACATTCATAATTGTATACCGTCTGAGCTTTTACATGTTTTAAATCAATATTTTGATTCATCCACTGTGAACTCCTGGAATCGTCATGAGAGCTGCTCATTACCAGTAGTCCAGAAGGCCCAGCCATGTTCTCAGTTGTCGTTCTGTGCTGCTGTTTCACAGTTAGATGATCTTTTTTGCCTTTGGAAGTCTCTTCATATAGTTCTGAGTCTTTTGTCTGTTATCTATATTTCAGATGAAAGGCCTTCAGACTCCTGCTGCAGCAGAAGAGAATGAGGCCAGCCCTGTTCCTCAGATGCTTAATGATGGACCAATCCCAGATGAGACCTACACACAGGTAAGAGTACATTCAAACACCTTCTTCTGTGCTGACATGTATGTGATGTTGTTCTACTACTAAACTGGACCAATGCTCATGTGGCTGTATGGTAGTCAGGTGGACCTATTGGGTGGGGAAGGCCAGGTAATGCCACACACACCGTCATGTTTCCAGTCATGTTCTTATGGGGTCCTTCCATCTTCCAAACACATTTCTATCTGGAGTCTCTCCTTTACACACTTGTATGTCTCTAGTCTGACCCAAGTGGGGCCCTTCCGTCCAGTTCTTCTTGTAGATGTTTTTAGTGCACTATGGTAACACCAGACATGACCTCAGCTGTGATTTTAACATTCATAATTGTATACCGTCTGAGCTGTTACATGTTTTAAATCAATATTTTGATTCATCCACTGTGAACTCCTGGAATCGTCATGAGAGCTGCTCATTACCAGTAGTCCAGAAGGCCCAGCCATGTTCTCAGTTGTCGTTCTGTGCTGCTGTTTCACAGTTAGATGATCTTTTTTGCCTTTGGAAGTCTCTTCATATAGTTCTGAGTCTTTTGTCTGCTATCTATATTTCAGATGAAAGGCCTTCAGACTCCTGCTGCAGCAGAAGAGAATGAGGCCAGCCCTGTTCCTCAGATGCTTAATGATGGACCAATCCCAGATGAGACCTACACACAGGTAAGAGTACATTCAAACACCTCCTTCTGTGCTAACATGTATGTGATGTTGTTCTACTACTAAAATGGACCAATGCTCATGTGGCTGTATGGTAGTCAGGTGGACCTATTGGGTGGGGAAGGCCAGGTAATGCCACACACACCGTCATGTTTCCAGTCATGTTCTTATGGGGTCCTTCCATCTTCCAAACACATTTCTATCTGGAGTCTCTCCTTTACACACTCGTATGTGTCTAGTCTGACCCAAGTGGGGCCCTTCCGTCCAGTTCTTCTTGTAGATGTTTTTAGTGCACTATGGTAACACCAGACATGACCTCAGCTGTGATTTTAACATTCATAATTGTATACCAGCTCTGACCTTCAGCTCTTGATGGGTAGGTTCGCGGCCGAATGTGAAGCGGCTGGGATGAGGATCAGCACCTCCAAATCTGAGACCATGGTTCTCGACTGGAAAAGGGTGGCTTGCCACCTCAGGGTCGGGGGAGAGGTCCTACCTCAAGTGGAGGAGTTTAAGTATCTCGGGGTCTTGTTCACGAGTGAGGGTAGGAGGGATCGGGAGATCGACAGGCGGATTGGTTCGGCGTCTGCAGTGATGCGGACGCTGAGCCGATCTGTCGTGGGGAAGAGGGAGCTGAGCCAGAAAGCCAGGCTCTCGATTTACCGGTCGATCTACGTCCCAATCCTCACCTATGGTCATGAGCTTTGGGTAATGACCGAAAGAACGAGATCGCGGATACAAGCGGCCGAAATGAGTTTCCTCCGTAGGGTGGCCGGGCTCAGCCTTAGAGATAGGGTGAGGAGCTAGGACATTCGGGAGGGACTCGGAGTAGAACCGCTGCTCCTCCGGATCGAAAGGAGCCAGTTGAGGTGGTTTGGGCATCTGGTCAGGATGCCTCCTGGACGCCTCCCCGGGGAGGTGTTTCGGGCATGTCCTGCCGGCAGAAGGCCCCCGGGACGACCCAGGACACGTTGGAGAGGTTACATCTCCAATCTGGTCCGGGAACGCCTTGGGGTCCTGCCGGAGGAGCTGGTGGACAAGGCCGGGGAGAGGACGGCCTGGAGCTCCCTAGTTGGGATGCTGCCCCCGCGACCCGGACCCGGATAAGCGGAGGAAGACGAGAGACGAATTGTATACCGTCTGAGCTGTTACATTTTTAAACCAATATTTTGATTCATCCACTGTGAATACCGCATCCAGTTTAAGGTCTTAACTATTGTTTACAATGCCCTAAATGGTCCAGCTCCCGCTTCCCTGTCAGAACTGCTCAAGCCATATGTACCATCCAGAAGCCTAAGATCGGCAGATCACCTGCTCTTTTGCACCCAAAGATGAAATATAAATCCAGTGGGGAGCGGGCCTACGTGTTTGCTGCCCTCAAACTTTGGAATGCTCTTCACCTCAGTGTTCGACAGGCCCCGTCACTGTGTCGGTTCAAGTCAGTGCCGAAGGCCTATTTTTATCATTAACTTTGATCAATGATCAGGCTGTTAGTGTTTTAGTCTGTGGTGTCTTCCCTGTTGACATGTGCTTACCTTTTAGTATGTTTTTTTTAAATATTTTTAGTCATGACCTTGTTTTTACTCGTTATTTTTTTTTTATCTTTTAATTCTTTTAATTTATTATCCCTTTTATCCTTTATAATTTTTTTCAATCTTCTTTGTTATTTCAGGGTTCTTTTTCTAACTTCGTTCGGTGTTTCACTACGGGGAATCGCCCTGGCGTGACCAACTACGGAAGCTCCATTGACATCACGTCTGTCCCTGACAGACTGGTAGCGCCGTGCCCAGGCTCCGCCCACCCAGTATATACACGGCCAACCAACCCCTCCTACTCATTCTCGCTTTCTCGCTTTCTTCCCGTGAGAAACTACACTTTGCTCCCTCAGCGATTTTCAGGCTATCTTTGGTCAGCTGCTTAACTGTTCCCAGGCGTACCATCAGGATCCGTCGCCGAACGCAGTCCCAATGCAGTCTGGATTAGAGCTGAGTAAGTGTTTCTAAGTCACTTGGCACACTTTGCTAGGAACCATTACCGCGTCACGGCGAACTGCTCCCGCGGCTACTCGGTTGTCATTGACGGAGTAGTATTAGCGAGTGTGGCTCAAGCTAACGCGTTGTTGCGAGCTTGTCCTGTTCTTATTTAGCATTTACTCGCTAATGAGCTATTTTGTTGCAGCTAACGTGTCACGACGAGTTGTCCTACATATAAAATATAGCTATAGTTGCAGACTTACACCTGCTAACTAGCTTGCTAACGCTTTTTCAGGCTAATCTGTCACGACCAGTCGGTTTTTCAGCTATGGCTTCCACCCCTACCCAGACGGAAGGGTCGGAACCAAAGGCTAAAGAGGCTGCATCCCGCCTGTGCCCGGCGTCATGTGGGGCTTCTATTTCAGGCAGGGACCCTCATCCTATTGTCATAGTGTGCATGGGTGCTGCTCACGCCCAGGCATCGCTGGCTAACCCGCAGACATGCCCTCACTGCTCCTCCATGCCAGAGAAAAAGGAGGCTTAGAGTGGCAGTGGCTAACGGCCGGAACCCAGGCCTCGGCTTGGCCACACCTGTGATGCAGGTGACAACCATCAGCCGCGAGCCTCCACAAGTTGGGCAGATATGATGGAGGAGGAGCCCCCGCTACCACTTCTGTTCGAGGGACTGGTTGACAGTGGGCTGCTCGATGCGGGTGATGACCTCCTCTATTTGGACATGGACGAGGAGGAAGAGGATTCCACCTTCCCGGCTCAACACTCTAGGCCACCTAGCGGCACTGGGGTGGCATCACAGGGGGACACCGACGTGTACGAGGTTTGCAGGCGAGCAGCTGCAAAGCTCAACATTCAGTGGCCGGCAGCCCAAGGGACAGAAGGGGTGGAACGAGACCTGTATGAGGCTTCCACTGTCCTCCGCTCCACCCAAGTGTTACTGGTCTAGCTCATTTAAAAGCAAACTCCCCACCAAGGGATACTCCAGACTGGAGGTGCATGGGATGGGGGAATTGGGGCTGGCCGAACCCCCAACTGTGGAGCCTTCAGTGGCATACCACCTTCACCCCAACCGCAGATCCGTGTCAGCGTCGTCCAGCATCTCTCTCCCATCTAAAACGGATCGTCTCACGGCATCCATTTTTCAGAGGATGCACACATATGCTGGCCAATCTGTGTGTTCCCTCAATGCAGTTACTCTAATGTCAGCTTATCAAGGAGAAATCCTGGAGGAAATGGGTCGTCAGCTGGACTCTTGGGCGCCTAACCCGGCTTTATGGGATGAAATCTGTGTGGTGAATGATCTCATCCTGCACTCTTCTAGAGGAGCAGTCCAGGGCTGTGGGCGTGTGATGGGTTTGGCTGTTTCAGGTGAGAGAGCCTTGTGGCTAAACTTGTCAGGCCTAGGTGACAGCCAGAAAGCTGATGTCATGGATGCAGCATTTGACCCTGTCAAAGGTCTCTTTGGCCCGCCCTGGAGAAGATGACTGAGACAAGCACCCACAGGAAGCAGGAAGGTGAGGCCCTCAATCTCTGCTTGCCTCGTAAACATAACCCTCAGCCACCTCAGGCACCCAAGCCTGGGTTTGCAGCAGCTGCCCCAGCGGCAAAGGGTCAACAGGGTGGGGCTAGACCACAGCGATCGGCAGGTGGTCAGCCAAACAAGGCGGAGAACCCTCGCCCATGGGGGAAGCACTCTTTCGCAGCAGCAGCCGCGAGGAACCGCCCGTCTCACCCCAGCGAGGGCAAGAGGAAGAAGTCATCCTAGCTGCTCTTGCTTCTCCTCTCCAGAAAAAGAGGAGGTTTTCAGAGGTACAAACAGACCTCTGTGTTCAGGGTTCAGACACTCCTGTGGTTCCCGGTCCAGCAGGAGTGGCGAGTGTGTGGAGCAGAAAACGCAGTGTCACCAAACACTTTTCATGAGCATGCAGTTAGTGTCACCAAGCACTTTGTTCCCAGATGTGTGCAGAAATGTTCAGGGGGGTCATTTAAAAATAAAGACGGCTTTTCTGCAGCCAGGCGTTCAGTCAAGGGCAGACAGCTCCCCACAAAAAATAATAAACAAACCCCATCAGGTCCCTCTGCGCCCAGCAGAGGGCCCTCTCACTCTTCCCACGGGACGAGTCGAGGCTGCTCAGGTGACGGAGATGACGTCACCCAACAGCGGCTTGTTTTCGGCGCAGGCCAAGAGGTGGCGCGCATGCGCAGTTCCCTCGTGGGTTCTGATGACAGTTTGTTGGGGTTCCAGGCTTCAGTTTGCCTCAAAACCTCCCTGTTTCAATGGGATAATAACGTCAGTGGCAAGAGAGGATTCGGCGCATATCCTGGAAAACGAAATTGCTTCACTGTTGAACAAAAAAAGCGATCAGGATGGTGCCGAGCGACGAGGCCCACCAGGGTTTTTATTCGCTCTACTTCCTTGTTCCACAGAAGGACGGGAAATCTCTCCGTCCCATACTCGACCTGCATGTGTTAAACAAACACTTACGCAAGTACACTTTCAGAATGTTGACTCACAAAACACTCTGCCGTTCCATCTGCCCAGGAGATTGGTTTGTCACGATTGACCTCGCAGATGCCTATTTTCACATCTCTATTTATCCTCTACACAGGAAGTTTCTCAGGTTTGCCTATCGGGGCACAGCCTACGAGTTTCAAACCATCCCGTTCGGGCTGTCATTAGCATCGAGGGTTTTCACCAAGTGTGTGGAGGCAGCGCTGTCCTCACTGAGGACTCGCGAGATCAGAATTTTCTCTCACATAGACGATAATCTGATTTGCGCTCCCTCCCGGGAGCAAGCAGCCAGCGACGCGCTGGTGGTGTTGAGCCATCTGACCGACCTGGGATTGAAAATAAACTGGACAAAGAGCAGTTTATTCCCCAGACAATGCACAGAATATCTGGGTCTTCAGATAAACTCTCTCTCTTATCGCGTTTCGCTGTCAGAAGAGGATTGCGTCCTTCACACAGTGTGTCGCACGTTTTCAGTTAGGATACCGTGCGTCGTACAGACTTTG